TCTCCAGGCAACTGAGTAAAACAATCTCACGACTGAGATAGTCCTATGGCTCGACTGGCTAACTCGTGTGTATATATTTTATACATATTACATTACATTACACATTTTAGCCGAACTGAGTAGATTCTTCTCATTTAGAAGGATAAGGTGTATGCATTGGCGTAGCTAGAAAGTTTATCTGGAAGGGGCCGAATTTGGGGCTGCTGCACTTTTTAATTTTGCAAAACTACGGGTTATTAAAAACTCACTCAAATTGCGTCCAAGGCAACTTATTTTTGGGTACATTTTTTTCTGTGACCAATAATATGACATTGAGGCTTACTATTATTTTAATGGTGACACAATAAATTTGATTATATTAATTTCATAACAAAGATTGGCACCTTTGACCAAGCAATGATCGTTTGTTCATGTTTTTTGAAATAAAATCACAGTCCGGATCTTGTAAATGTAAGCATCTCAAACTTAAGAAAATTCTCAGGGTTAGGCAATTTCATGAATTTTGTAACTAGATTTTTTTTATTGAGCAGTCAAATCTCAGACATAGGAACCAAAATTAAATTCTAGGAGTTTGAATTTTATAATTTTATAAAATTCTGGCTGTTTCAAGGTAAAATGCACACAGAGTAAAATTTAATACATTTAGGACGTAGGAAAATGTTCAAGTTGCACAATTTTTCGACGTAGGACTACGTTGGTGATTTCTATATGGGCGTACACTTTGTGAAAACTGAAAATGGAACATGTAACGAAATTATGAAAGATTTTGAACGTTAATAACTCAGCAGCTCCTGGACAAATTTCATTAATTTTATCACCAATCGATCAGAAATATTTCTACGCATCGATAGCAATGCTTTTAAACAAGAAATTATTTAAAAAATGGAAATTGTCAAGAATTGTTAAAAAGCGTCGAAATAACTAACAAATCCACTAATTTCGTACATGCATATGCTGCAGATGCACAATCCTTAACATTGTTAATGTTAAAATAAAAATAGTTTTGTGATCCCAAACCCATATGTTTTCTAGATTTTGTAAATAATTAAAAATGACATTGAAATTTCTGCCCGGAATTTAGCTGCTGGAGTGCAAATTTGTAACAATATAGCTAAAATACCAAGGCACGGGTCTTCCCTATAGAGAATGTACAAATATGGCCATAAAATCAAGATTCATCATTCAAGATTCCATCTGATTCCATTAGATGGACAACTTTTGAATACTTCCTGATCAACCTACAACCTACCAAATATCCAGTAAGCTTTACTAATATCTTGGACTATATGGAGATCTTTCGAATATTTCCTGATGTCTAGGAAGGATGTTTGGAAGAATATCCTGTAACTTATGCAACGTTTCCTGAACACCTACAAAACTTAGGTTTTACAAAATTTCCTCAACTTCTACGAAGTTCCCTGAATTTATTCCACATTCCATATTTTTTTTTTCCATTTCTTTAAATACTACAAACATCTCTGAACATCTTTGCACTTCTGGAAAGACACCTAAGACATCTACAAATATTCTTGAACACCTAGAAAGTTCCTTGAATTTAGCGAAGTTCCCAAAACCTCCAAGAAGTTCATGGAGCTTTTTTGGAGTAAGATCTCTGAAAAACTGCAACGAAGTATTCTAAACTGAGGGGCAGATCCCTGAAGTTCTGAGAAGCTTATTGAACTATTTTTAGATCTTACACTTATATGAAGTTTTACGCAGCTCCTCAAAATGCTACGAAATTCGAAAATCTTCTACAAAGTTTGCTGTTGAATTTCCACAACTATACCAGGTTCAAGAGGCTAAAAAAAACTGAAATTATTTAGAGGTTCCCGATCAATAATGAGCTTCCCTAAAATAAAATAATGTTCCTTTAACTTCTACGAAGCTCCTCAAATTTAAATGAATTATCTACTTCTACGCACTTTTCAGAACTTTTCGAATTGTCTTTTTTCTACGAATTTTTCTGAAGGTCTATGAATTTCCCAAAATATCTACCAAGTTTACTTAATTTCTACGATCTTCCCTGAACTTCTATTTGAAGTTTTACGAAGTTTCCACAAGTTAAAGAAAAATTCCTGGGCTCATGGACAATTTGTAGAGCTTGAAGACGTCTTATTGCCATCGATTTGGTATAATTTAATTTCTCAAAATTGTTTCTTATAGGGGAAAAGTTGGCTTCGGCAATACCGTAACCTATTATCGTCAGGGGGGTAAACAAAGTCCAAGAGCACTTAATTTGGCCAATAGTTGCTCTGAAACACTATGTATCCACATGCCAATATTGAGCTCTCAAGGACGTTCTTTACCCCCTGACGATAATAGGTTAAGGTATTGCCGAAGCCAACTTTTCCCCTAGTCCAGAACATAGCAAAAGTAATCAACTTTAAAAAAATCTTCGTTGGTGTTCCAATTTTATTAATCACTCTTAAATAGTAGCATTGAACTTAACAAGTATAAAAAATACCGGTGAGTCAAAAACAAACACCAAAAATTCTGGAGGGGGCCTGGCCCCTCTGGCACCTCCATTAGTTCCGCCAATGGGTGTATGAAACCATAAATTTGACGTCACACTCCTAGCAGCTTAGGAATAGCGGTATAACGAAAGGGATGTTAATTTCATATTATCAGGCTTTTTCTTTATGACTTTGGATGGACCTACACACTTAGATTTTTTTGCCGAGATGGGCACCACCGAGCAGCTCGGTATTTCTTATTATTCTTCTTCGGTAAAATTCTTAACTACTGTCTACCAGCCAAAAAGTCTTGACCCCCTAAACAACTTTGCCGAAGCCAGCAACTTTCTAGCTGATCAAGATCTCGAGCTAAATATGCGAGAAAGGCACGTATATACTAGCGCCGCATAGTGAGAACATTCTGAACTATTGTAACCCAACAAAAAGATCTTGACTTCCTGAAAAACTATGCCGAATACATTTACTTTCTAGAGATATTTTATATGCGAGAATTTCACATGTATAATAGCACCGCGAAGTGAGAAAACTCTGAACTACTGTCCACCTGCGAAAAGGCCTTGATCTTCTGAACAACTATGCCGAAGACAGTACCTTTCTATCTGGTTGGGCACTCGAGATATTTTACATGAGAATTTCACGTTTATACTAGCGACACGTAGTGAGCAAATTCTGAACTATTAAGCACCAAGCAATAGGCTTTGACCTCCTGAAAAACTTTGTGAAAGACAGTATCTTTCTATCTGGTCAGGATCTCGAGACATATCACATGCAAGAATTTCACATGTATGCTAGCACTACGTAGTGAGCAAATTCTGAACTACTGTCCACCAGTGACAAGGCTATGATCTCCTGAACAACTTTGTCGAAGACAGTAACTTTCTATCTGGTCAGGATCTTGATATATTCCATGTTGTAATCAATTAAGTCAAATCCCACGTAGTATGGTCACAATTTACGCGGTTTCCATTTACTTTACTATTATCCGCATTTTTTAGGTGTTTACTGTAATCAAAGCTTAGCTTGTTTAAATCAAAGTAAGTTTTTTTGAGGAATACTCGTTGGTTTCAGATCGATTGGTAACTCAGCAACAAAATGGCAATGGAAAACTCATGTGTGTTGTACAAAGTACAACCAACAATCAATACGAAACTAACGATTTTAAATGGGCTCACCACTTTAGTAGCCTATTGGTCCCAAGCAAACGATTAACGTACCCTATTCTAGTTGAAATTCTATTACTACACTATGTTTGTTTTGATTCGCTATGAAAGTTTAACAGATAACATCAGGGGTGTGTGGATTCATGCAGAACATGCAGGGGTGAGTGAAATAGCTTGGGACTGCTTGGGACCGTTGTTCTGGTACTGAGTGAGCCAAAAATAATAATGATTTTCTTCGGGACCCAGTGGTCTTAGAGTTACCTCTATGGTACAACAGCACGAGTAACGGAGGCTTAAAATGAATGTCGTGGCTACTGCGATTATGATTGCCTATGGGATTGTTGTTCTATAACTCGATGGTTCCTACAATATCGTGTTGTAGAGAGGACCTATTTTTTTTAAGGTTTCAAACTCCCAGCTTACTGGATTTTACGGTCCGAGACTTAAAAAATCTCAACATCCATAAATATTTACATTTACAATTGTGATTTTTTAAGAGCTTCTGAAGATTGCAAAATTTTCAAAATGGTTCATTGTGTAACATCTAAAATAGTAGGGGTATTCACTATGCGCATTGTAAACATATACACTATCGTAAAAATACCAGGGTCAATTGGAGTGTAATGGAAATTTACACATTTACGAAGGTGTATACGTTTACGATGCGCTTTGTGAATACCCCTAGTGTATTTGGAATAGCTGAATATTGCTTTTGGTATGTCTTTGACATGATCCCGATTGTAAACTTTGCTGAGAAAGTTAAAAATTTGTTAGTTTTTCTTTTGATGGCATTTATTTTTTCCATAGCTTTACAGTTGTTCAGTTCAACCAATATTATGTATAGATTGGTGATTATCTATCATTTCCATTCAAAAGCTCACTCTTAACAAAAACGTAAATCTGAATGACTTGAAGCGATGACGTACGCTATAATTTTTTAGCATTTTCTAACCGTGTATGAAGTTCCTCAAGATTGCGTCAACCAATGTCATCATTAATGGAAGTATTCGTACGTCATCGAATTAATCTATTTTTACTCGTGTTGGAAAAATAGCAAACAAGTTCATCTAATTTCAATAATTTTCACATATTCCTTGCTTCAATGCTAAACGGATTACATTCCAAATATCCACTTGACTGCCATTTTCTCCCCCTGCTTGTCGAAAAAAAAAGGAAATCATCTGAAGAAATCCCCTTCAGCGAAGGGTAAATGGCGATCGGTTGGTGCCTGCTCGAGAGTTGTAATTCCTGGCCCAATGAGCGCATGTGTCGTGGAGTTTTCCCTGCAGAGGAAATGCCACATAAAAACCCTCTGACCAACTGCCATCCGGTAGTCATTCGTGATAAAGACAATGAACGGAGCGGATTAGCGGTGTGTGTTTTGTTTAAGTTCTAGTTTTTATTACGGAATACCATCATAGTCCAAGTGAAAATCTTCTAGACAATCTACTATAGTGTACAATCATGATTAACCTCGCCATGGTATGGATTCTATCAACGATAACATTATCGTGGGCTGCCGATGATGTCTTTATTGGAGGCTTCGAAAAACGGGGCCCCATGCTTGGTTGCCACAAACGGGTGTTCACTTATCGTGTTTCGCAAGCGGATAGCAAAGGGCGCGAGTGTTGGGATCATGTGAGTGTTTGGTCCTGCCATGGACGGTGCGATTCGAATGAGATTTCCGACTGGCGTTTCCCGTACAAACGGTCCCATCATCCGGTGTGTATGCATGCCGGACGAACCCGGTCGGTGGCCACCCTGAGGCACTGTCACCCGGATGCCGACCCTGAGGCTAAACTGTACGAGTATATGGAACCTAAATCGTGTACCTGTCAGGTAGGAACTCATAATAGGTCAAGAAGTGAAGTTAGTTTAGGTAAATTAATCGTCTTCCTCATATACTTTTCACTATCAAACGCTACATTTTTGGATTCAAGATAGTTATTTTGGACAGAACTAACGGAATTAACGTATTAAAATTATGTTTTTTTTTCTCCTCTACCACGCGTATCCATAATTATATCATAAAACAAGGAACACATTTTAGTCCTTGTTATTTTTCATGATTTGTTAATAGTGACAAGACTCGGAGAAGAAGTCCAATCCTTAGTAACATTGCAAGCTTTATAGAAGTTTTATAGCATTCTACCTGTCTAAATCATGGTCTAACGAACCTTCATTTAACCAAAGTTGTTACTTGGGATGCCTGTTGAATTGTGAAGTTAATTAAAATTAAAAATAAAATTTAATGAAAGAAGGGATATTTTTGGATAAGCTTCACTGGGTAAATTGCTCTGCGCTTATTTACTATAGTGCACGCCCACTTTTACGTTGCTGATATTTCTTAATGAAATCGACGGCAAGTTGCGAATCTAATGAACTTGTGCCTAATCGTATTTTATAAAATGCTATGTGCGAGTTCGGGAAGAAAAAGAAAAGTTGTAGGGGAAAAGGCTCTAATTTATTTTTTATGTCGTCAATTAATCGTAGACCAATTACAATGAGTGCTTATTAACTATGTCTTATATATTATTGCCTGGCTAACCTTGAAAAGAATGCTTTTTTTTTGTGTTATTTTATTGATTGTTACATCAATTGATTGGGAATATGCGTTATAGCAGGACATAGTTCTATTCAAAGGCCCATTTTTAGCATAGTCTGTTCTTTGATTGTTAATGTAAAACAAATTCCTAATCCTCAGAAAGCGAGTTGGAGCATAAATATTTTCTAAAATTTCCGGAACATTAACTCTTTGAGCAATAACATCATTTATAAATGTTACCATGGCGAAGTCTCTTTGTATCTCCAGTCTATCTAAATTTATTAACAAACATCGTGATTCATAAGATGGAAGTGGTAATCTCGTCCAACCTAATTTTCGAAAGGCAAACAACAAAAACTGTTTTTGAACAGACTCAATGCGGTTTATAAATGTATCCTGATACGGAGCCCACACTACGCTGCAGTATTCAAGAAGAGGTCTCACATAGGCCACATACAATGTTTTAATAGTGTAAGGATCATTGATGTGCATACTAAATCTTTTGATAAACCCTAGCATGTTACTTGCTTTATATATAATGTTATTGTAGTGATCAACAAATGATAACTTAGAGTCGAGAATAATGCCTAAGTCCATTACTTGATTACATCTTTCAACTGTTTTCTCACCAAGGGAAATTGTGTCATTTACTGGTGAATGCTTTCTTGTAAACGATATAGAATTACATTTACTAACGTTAAGCTCTAACAAATTCTTCTTACACCAAGTGTAAAAAATGTCAACTTCTTGCTGAAATAGCTGCAGATCAGATGTTTTAGATATTTCCATGAAAAGTTTTATGTCATCTGCATATATTGAAACATGAAGCAGCTTCAAAATGTATTCTATATCATTGATAAATAAGATGAATAGTAGTGGGACAAGATACGAACCTTGGGGCACACCAGATGTTACATGAAAGACAGACGACAATTTTCCTTCAAATCTTACTCTTTGCGTTCTTCTTGACAAGTATGACTCGATCCATTGCAGTAGCCTGGTATTAAAACCTAACTTGGATAACTTGAAAATCAACACTATATCCACTGTATCGAACGCTTTACTAATCAGTATATAATGTTTCTACGTAATTTCCCTTATCCATTACACTCGAAAAGTTTAGGAATGGTAGATAATATAGCAACCCCGCGATAAAGGGTGATACGGTCAAAATTTGGTCAATATCAACTTGACGTATTTCTTTCAATTTTGCATTTAAAAAACCTGAACACCCCTCATTTTGAAGGTGTGTGTGTGTAGAATGTTGCTCCTATTTTGATTTTAGAATTCACTCTTCAGTTGTCAAAATGCCGTCCAAGCAAGAAGAGCAGCGTATCAAGATTTTGCTCGCGCATCGCGAAAATCCGAGCTACTCGCACGCAAAGTTGGCAAAATCGCTAAAAGTTGCCAAATCAACCGTTACAAATGTAATTAAAGTGTTTGGGGAACGTTTGTCGACAGCCAGAAAGTCTGGATCGGGGGGAAATCGAAAACCGGAAGCCGCTGAGACGACAAAGAGAGTTGCCGGTAGTTTCAAGCGAAACCCTAACCTCTCTCTCCGAGATGCCGCAAATAAGCTGGGTGTATCGTCTACAACCGTGCATCGAGCCAAAAAACGAGCCGGACTATCGACTTACAAGAAGGTAGTGACTCCAAATCGCGATGATAAACAAAATACGACGGCCAAAGCGCGATCCCGGCGGCTGTACACGACGATGCTGACGAAGTTTGACTGCGTGGTAATGGACGACGAAACCTACGTCAAAGCCGACTACAAGCAGCTTCCGGGACAGGAGTTTTATACGGCAAAAGGAAGGGGAAAGGTAGCAGATGTTTTCATGCACATGAAACTATCAAAGTTCGCAAAGAAATATCTGGTTTGGCAAGCCATCTGTACCTGTGGCTTGAAAAGCAGCATTTTCATAGCTTCCGGGACTGTCAACCAAGAAATTTACGTGAGAGTGTTTGAATAAACGTCTGCTGCCTTTCCTGAAGAAACACGGTTGTTCCGTACTGTTTTGGCCGGATTTGGCATCTTGCCATTACGGTAAAAAGGCCATGGAGTGGTACGCCGCCAACAACGTGCAGGTGGTTCCCAAGGACAAGAACCCTCCCAACACGCCAGAGCTCCGCCCAATTGAGAAATACTGGGCTATTGTCAAGCGGAACCTAAAGAAGACCAAAAAAACTGCTAAGGGCGAGCAGCAGTTCAAGGCAAACTGGCTTTCTGCGGCGAAGAAGGTGGACAAGGTGGCTGTACAAAATCTGATGGCTGGGGTCAAGCGTAAGGCCCGGCGATTCGGATTTGGAAAAGCGGAAGCCTAACTGAATATTTTTCCTGAATTTTATACTAATTGAACTTGAAAAAGAAATTTAATTTGATTTTTTAAATAAACGATTTCACCGATTTACACGCGTTTTCCCTTGACCAAATTTTGACCGATCACCCTTTAGTTTGTGATATCCGATTTTTTTCCCGTTTTTAAAAATAGGGATTTAAAATGATTCCTTCCAAATCGGAGGCAGCATGCTGGCGTTTAACGATGAATTAAACAACTCCAACAACTCTAAGAACTCAAGAGCATGCCAGATTTCTTTGAGGGATAAATTGTTAACTGTAATATCCGTCATTGGCTCCGGAAGATATGAAAATATTGATAATTGCGATCATTCTCATCATTAGTTGTGTAAATGTTCTGAAAAAGTCAGCAAATAAATTATTGATCTCACTAGATGTGTTGCCGGTTCTGTTATCTAACTGCATTTTCGAAGGAAATTTCTTTGATTTTTGTCTCTCTTTAACATAGTTAAAAATGATTTTGGATCTGTTTTAATATTATTTCCTACCCTACCTTGGTATTATCAACAATCAATACGAAACTAACGATTTTAAATTGGCTCACCACTTTAGTAGCCTATTGGTCCCAAGCAAACGATTAACGTACCCTATTCTAGTTGATATTCTATTACTACACTATGTTTGTTTTGATTCGCTATGAAAGTTTTACAGATAACATCAGGGGTGTGTGAATTCATGCAGAACATGCAGGGGTGAGTGAAATAGCTTGGGACTGCTTGGGACCGTTGTTCTGGTACTGAGTGAGCCAAAAATAATAATGATTTTCTTCGGGACCCAGTGGTCTTAGAGTTACCTCTATGGTATTATGTTCTTCAGTGCCATGTTCCCTGTTTATGTGTTTTTATGTGATTGTGTATATTTTTCCTTTTTTTTCTCGAAAATTTCCAAAATTTGTTTAAAGTTGTGATTGTTGCGCTGCCATGGTGATTGTATTTGGTGAGCTTGTTCCAGTTAACAACAATCCGTTTGTTTCCTGGCGAAAGCGATACCTACTGTTGGTAAGGCGTGCAAGAATATAGTTGTATCTTGCGGGGGAAAAGACATTATGATTTATCACAGGCTACAATTGTAGAAAATCGTATCAGATAGATCTTGGGCGGATCGCTTTGAAATGTTAAGAAAAAATAGGGCGCACGCTTGATCCATTTTGGGATACTTTATTGACTGCTTTCGAGAAAGTAAATTCATTTGAATAGCTTGTTTAACCAGGGCTTAAACGTCGGTCAAAGCTTGTTATGATAGCTTGAACGGTGCGTAAACAGCAAATTGAAACATTGATCGTCACGTGCATGTAGAGCTTAATGAAGACCTAAGTGCTTTTTCGTAGCTTTTAGTTTTCAGATTTCGATCGTCGGTTGCAGTAGCTTGCTTACTGAGCAGAAAAACGCGGTCCCGGGTCCTTTCATATAAAATAAATTTACGGTCAAATCGCTTGTTTATCGTGTATTTTGCGAAACTTGTCGTCTGTGCCGGGTTTGAATAGTTATAATAACTTGAGTAACGGTATAATGTGATATAAGGTGCTCGCTGACCTTATAGCGAACGTTTTTGCTTACTGAGCAGAACATCATGAGTCTAATATCAGGCCCATCCAAATTGAAGATTTGTCAGTCGTGGAAGATAGAGTGGGCAAGGATGATTATGATTAAAAAAAATATATATAAGTTGAGCCATGTAACGATACGCTTAAATTGAGGAAAACCAATTTATCGTGCATGTGAACAAAATCTCATTATCATTGCTTTGTGAGGAGAAATCCCAAAACAGCTAGCAGCGCTGTGTAAAAGACGAGGCAAAAGATGGGATATTCCTTTGGTATAAATATGGGCCACCTAAGCTTGCAAAAGGCATTCCCACCAAGGTGGTCGACCGTGTACTAAGTCTAGGACTAATTCTATAAAACAAATTTTGAATTTTGCCCATACCTAAAGATGAAGAAAGCAATTAAATCACTTAGAAAAATGTATATGGTAATCATCCAAGTTGAACTTGCAAAAGGCATTCTTGTGACGAACGTTGAAGGTGACGCATAAGCAGCAGCAGCAGTAGCAGCAGAAGCAGCATTATACAAGCAGACAAAAGAACGTAAGAATTCCATAAGAAACACTTATGAATTTTAGTTACAAGAAATCAGTATGAATTTTATTGATTTGCCTTATGAAAAATAATGTTGACAAAAAAATAATAAATCGGAGCAGACTGGAACCGAACCATGGACGTTGAGATTACGGAGCTCGTGTGTTGACCACTCGTCTTAAGAATCTGGAATGGCTAAAGGCGTATAAGGGCTACGAAAATCTTTCATAAGTCGCGTTTATGAAATTCATATTTGTCGTTCATAAGTCGAGTCTTATGAAATTCTTAAGTCTATTTGCCTCAGTGTAGTAGTAGCGGCAGCAGCAGGAACAGCAGCAGTAATGGATGCGTAGCACCCGAGATTCGTGTAGCCGTGACCGAGGCTGGAAACCTCGGACCGGTCACGACACATAGTATGTGGTTTGTCTTATGGAATGTATAAGGCTGATGTGTTGGCAAAAATGTATAAGTGAAACACATAAATAAAATAATTGATTTTCGTTTCGTGTAAGGTATTACGATAATATTTTGTGTGTGCAAGTAACAAAAAAAGCTTATAAAGTTTAAGACGAGTGCACGGATGGATTTGAGTTCACTCGCTCGACAAAAAGTGACACAACAGCGGGGCCCTGTTTACTAAAAATGAACACATGAATAATACTGTAACATTTGAAACGGGCCTATCAACTTTTGCACACAAAACTTGTTAAGCCCTTTTCGCGCGAACCGAATACGCCCACGCAAACTAACAACTCCATCGTGTAGGAGAAATTCTCCCCTTCCTGATAGTTCTCTTGGTTTACGTAAGCATACTTCGGTTCTCGTGAAAAGGACCTTGCAAGTTGTTTAGAAAAATTGATAATCCATTTTCTAATGTTATGCGACCACTATTCATGTGTTCATTTTAAGTAAACAGGGCCCTGCTGTTGTGTCACTTTTTGTCGAATGAGTGAACTCAAATCCATCCGTGCACTCGTCTATTGCGACTCTCTTGTAGCAAAATTGGCAGGTAGGGTTAACTACCTCATTTCCGGCCTATTAAGCACAACACGCACTTAGTCTTTCTTAATCTAGCGTAGTTTAGCACCAAATGGTATGTTATTATTACTGATAGCTTCCAAATTTATTTACCTTTCTGTACGTACTGTAAGATTTGATAAAGAGAAACCAATCGTTGAGATATTGTCAAAAGTCTAACCCTGCTTCTTGACATCAAACTCGGCCTACGGATTCTAAACTCGGCCTAACGCATTGAAATGCTATTGAAACGCCAATGAATTCACCTCGGCCTATCGGATGAAGATAAAAATTGATTCGGCGGAGCGCATCTTTTGTTTATGGGAATTATGGGTGAAAACCTTCATATCACGCGTTCTCATTGACTTCGTTCGGTAGCTTATTAACTAAAGTATCGTACCAACTCAACTCTGTAATAAAAAGTCTGGTGGTGGAGTGCTCATTGCCATCAATGCTGACTTTACTTCTGAAGAAATCATAACAAATAAGCACAAGGAATTCGAAAATGTTTGGGTCAAAGCACTTATTGCCGGTGAAATACACATTTTTTCTTCTGTGTATTTTCCACCTAAACATGCCCACAAGCAGTCTTTTGAACTATTTTTTCAAATTGTTGAAACTATAATGTCAAATATGGAACCAGTAGTAAAACTGCATATTTATGGCGACTTCAATCAACGAAACGCAGACTTTATTACAGACATTGAAAATGAATCATTTTTACTCCCGGTCGTAGGTGAAGACGAAGCATTACAATTATTATTCGACAAAATATCTTATTTTGGTCTTAATCAAATAAACCATGTAAAAAATCAACAAAACTCATATTTAGACCTTTTATTTACAAATTGTACTGAAGACTTCTGTGTGGATACATCATTAGCACCTTTATGGAAAAATGAAGTGTTTCACACAGCAATTGAATACTCAATCTTCGTACAAAATTCTTCCTCCTCCAGCGACTGGGAATACGAGGAAGTGCCGGAATACCATAAAGCAAATTACGAAGAAGCCAAACGTAGACTATGTACAATAAATTGGCAAAATTTAATAAGTATTGAAGGAAATGTCGATACTGAAGTAGAAAAATTTCACTTAATTCTACAAAACCTAATCTTAGAAACTGTACCATCAAAAAAAAGAAGACGAACACAAAACAATAAACTACCCGCATGGTTCAATCCAAAACTGAAAAATTTGAAGAATAAAAAACAGAAAGCTCATAAACTATACAAAAAAGAAAAAACTGAAACCAATTTGCGAAACTATCACAACTTATGCAACCAATTAAATACAGCCACCAACTCTGCATATGAGGACTATAACCGCAAAGTCGAAAATGAAGTCAAATCATGTCCTAAGAACTTTTTTAATTATGTAAACACGAAATTAAAAAGCAGCAATTTTCCTTCGCGAATGAATTTGGATGCAAATGTAGGCGAGAATTCTTCTGAAATTTGCAGTCTCTTTGCAAATTTCTTCCAAGAAGTATACACCACATTTTCCGAAGAAGATCGTGACCGCGATTTCTTTGCATTCATTCCTGAAATTTCTAAAAACATCTCTATCAACCAACTTTCTCAACATGAAGTCCTCAATGCACTAAAAAACTTAAACGCGTCGAAAGGGTCTGGACCTGACGGCATCGCACCCATATTTTTGAAAAACCTTTCTGAAGAACTCGCATTTCCTCTAGAGCGTCTTTTCAACATGTCTCTGAAAAATGGAAAATTCCCTGAAATTTGGAAATCATCTTATTTGGTACCTATTTTCAAATCAGGTGCAAAATCAGACATTCGAAATTATCGTGGAATTGCTATTATTTCTTGCATTCCAAAACTTTTTGAATCAATCGTAAACGGCAATATTTTTCAGCAGGTGAAAAATCTAATTACAAGTAAACAGCACGGCTTTTTTAAAGGTCGCTCAACTACCTCTAATCTTCTAGAATATGTATCTTTCATTATTAAAGCGTTGGACAGTGGCAAGCACGTTGAAGCGCTATACACCGACTTCAGTAAAGCATTTGACCGCATCGACATACCATTATTAATCCTCAAATTGCAGAAAATAGGAATGGAGCCTGGACTTTTGAATTGGCTTCAATCATACCTAACACATCGTAAACAAATAGTTCGCTTTCAAAAAAAACTTTCAGAACCAATTTCAGTCACCTCTGGGGTACCCCAGGGTTCTCATTTAGGCCCACTTCTTTTTATTTTGTACATAAACGACATTTCCTACATACTTAAAAAAATAAAATTGCTTGTATATGCAGACGACATGAAGCTCTTTATGGAAATAAGTAATTCTAGCGATGCAGAAGAATTCCAGAATGAAATCAATATATTCCACACCTGGTGTAGTAAAAGTCTACTTAAACTGAACGTAAAAAAAATGTACTGCAATAGCATTTAGCAGAAAAATTGAAACACCGCACATTGAAATATCATTAGGCAACCAAATAGTAGAAAAAAGCAAAATTGTAAGAGATCTAGGTGTAATCCTAGACTCCAAACTAACTTTTATAGAACATTATAATACTATCATTAGTAAAGCAAACAGAATGCTAGGCTTCATCAAAAGGTTCAGTCATAATTTCGAAGACCCATACACTATTAAGCTTTTATATACCACATATGTAAGGCCAATTCTGGAATACTGCCACCTAGTATGGAATCCATACATTTCCATACACGAAGAACGCATAGAATCTGTCCAAAAACAATTCCTTTTATATGCTTTACGTAAACTGAATTGGACTGCATTTCCATTACCATCTTATGAAGCGCGCTGCATGCTCATCAATATACAAACACTTAAGGAGCGCCGCCAATTTGCAATGCTTTTCTTCATCAACGACATTATTTCAATGCGCATAGATTCGGCAGAAATTCTCGCACAATTAAATTTTTACACACCTTGTCGATATCTTAGAACACGGAATTTATTTTCAGAAACATCGTACAGAACAAACTATGCAAAAAATAGCCCAATCAATCGAATGATGCGCCTATATAATTTGCATTGCGGAACTATTGACATCACTATGTCCAAGCAGCAAATACAAACTAAGCTAAAACAGAATAGAATTAATGCATAGTATGTAAGTAAACATTGTAATAATCATTGTATGTAGTCTACACTGGCTTGACGAAATGGAAATAAAAAAGCATAATTGACTCGTTAACTCTGAAATCACAGATTTATTTGAAGTTTTCTGCTCGATAGGCCCAAAATGGGCGATTAGGCCGAAGTAGTTCTCTACCCTATTATGTGTCAAACACAAACAGGCATGGAGAATCATTTGCATTCATTTCATAAATTCATTTACATTCATTTGCCTCTAACTTTTTTCATAAACAGCATTCCGCTAAATTATGTATAGAGCTTTTGTAGGTTTTGTAGGTTGTATTAACTACAACTTTTACTCATAACTCAAATCTGTATCTCTTATGCATCACGAACTAGAGTGGGTAGAACTTGTTACTGTTTTTCAGTGAATGTAAAGTACATTCACTGAAAAACAGTAGTGGCTTCTTTTCGCTCTGGTTCGTCATGCATAAGAGAAACGGATTTGACTTGTTAACAAAAGTTTTTTTTGTCCTTGATTTGTTTTCCGTCGATCTTGTTTTCCGTGCTGAGCACCAATGCTATAGACGCCAGGAAGGCAGCTCTTATACCTGGACCCTACCTATCGACCCATCATCAGCTCATGAACCGGGGACCAACGGCTTTACTTCCTTTCCGAAGAAGGCGTGATCAGAGATGTTATGCCTTAGAACATCCCTAATAAAAATTGTATGGTTAATTTGCTTAACGACATGTTCTGGGTATCATCCAAACCATTTGTGGAATAGTTCAATGATTTGGGTTATCGTTCGATTATGGTTATTTTTTATTAGGGATCCCAGCGGCGCCGACTGGGATTGAACCCAGGCACGCTTACCACTACACCTCCGGCGCTGCTATATTAACAAAAGTTGTAGCTAATAACAAAACCTACAAAAGCTCTATACATCATTTTGCGGAATGCTGTTGAAGAAAAAAGTTAGAGGCAAATAAATGTAAATGACTGCACGAAATGAATGCAAATGATTTTCCATGCCTGAACACAAACTTCAAATCTTTTATTGTTGCTTGCTAATCTTATTATTCCATAATTTCACAAAACATAGTTTAGACAAAAAGAATGGAAGGCACCCTGCTTGGCTTCCATCAAAGCGAGTGTCACGTCAACACATTCCTTATCCATTCCTTTCTTGACCTGCGTTCGGCTGCGCCAATGGGCGCCGGACAATTGGTTATGTACGGGCCTCATCAGAACTTACAAACACTGGTATAGCCGTTGTCCAGCTGTATATAACCAAAAAGACGAAATAACGTGCCTATCCTA